ACATTTCTTTATACCGACAGCGACGATGAAGAAGACGAATAGATATTTATTTTTAAAACCTTTAAATAAGTGTTATCCGAAAATTAAATTAGTAGTTATAAGTGTAATAACAGATATATAGGACATGCATTTAATATTTTTGAGATTATATATTCTCTTTTAATCACTGCTTTGGTTGTTTATGACTTAATATTCGTAGGCGGGATTTTCTCTAAGGGACAAATTGGCAACCATTAACGGATTAAAGTGCGTCATTTCAAAGTCGAAATTCAACATGAAAACTACCGTTTCAAATGTCCTCCAAGACATTTTTTGAAAGCTTAAGTGATGAGCTTTCATACGCAACCCATTTCGTTTGCTTCCCTGAGATGAGTATTGGAACCATCTCAGGTGATGGACTATAGCCTTATTTCTTTAAAGTTAGTCTTGTAAGGTGAAATTCCATTAAAATAGATTTCCAATGAAACATTAGAGAAGAGGCAAAAGCTGGTAGAGAATATAAGATATTTTCCAATAAATATTCTCCTAGTTCTTTACGTTTTCGTGTCTTAATGCATATCAATAAAAATTGTAAATCATGACTTTGTATGTGTTGAATGAGAAGAAAATTAGTCACCTTCCACCATAAAATGGATGTTTGTTATCTACCTTTACAAACTCAAACATCATATACTGTTTTGGGAGATGTCTGCATATATTTGATCTAAGCGAAACATTGTTCCATGGTCGATCGAAAGGAAACCTAGACAGAATGAGCTTATTTTTCTCTTCGGGCAAACGTGCTTTGTGGGTTGGTACTTTTTTGTAATGTTGATCAGGGATATTCACGAGATGTCTCTAAACAATGGTTGAGGAGTGTCTTCCCTTTTTCGAGGGATTCCTTGATGTTGATTTTGACATGCTTTGCCTTTTTCGAGAAGGGCCTTTGACTGACTTGCTGTAATTTCAACCGAGCTTGTACGATAACTTGCGAATCTTTGAGCTAACTCAGATCTCATTGAAGACTTATCATTTAACAGGACATTTGAAGATGATGGTGAAGCAAGTCTATGAAGATCTTCAGCTGATCTAATTTGAATTGTTAGCAGAGCTTGTGCAGCTTATGAGGACATTGAGTGTTATAATAACAGGAGCGGCTAAGTGGACTGGTACGATGTTGTCAAAAACATGGATACCAATTGACTTATTTCCGCTTAATGTTCGCTTTGCAGAAAACTATTTTTCTCGACCTTCTCTTGGTGGGTATAGTTAGTTGTATAGAATTTTTTAAAAACAAACATACACGTGATCTTTTTTGGCATTTCTTCAATGCTAACACTTGTTTTCACTGGTGAGATATTTGCTTATTTTGTTTCTTCATCAAAGATTGAAAAGCAATTACACTAAAAAAGCCATAAAATCTGGAAGACGGTATTGAAAAACACTGACTTGCGTACCAAATATGCTGATATTTTCCTGTTTTTGGTTATAAAGTTGAATATACTTTTCTACTTATTTATTAATAAGTTTAAAGATTGGTAATCCAGGCATATTTAATGTATAAAAATAAAAGTTTCTCCGGATTGTTTAAAATTATTTTATTGATCTTTCAACTCGGTGCTTCGAGCCTTCATCAGAAAGATATAGGAAGTTATAAACAGTTGTTTTTTATTTGTAGACGCTTAGAGCGTCTAATTGGATTAACGGGTGGACCATCCAATCACGTTATTTTATTTATTGTCGTTTTTTCGACAATATTTCTGCATTGTACCATGCCTAGCCTATACCTTGCGAGATATTCACGTGGAAAAACAATCGACAAGAATCGAGGTTGATCCGACAAACTATTACAAGACAGAAAATGCAAAATAAAATAGATAAAAACATTTTGTTTGAATATTTTCAGTATTATGCACATCTTTTTTATAAATACATCTTTTACGTGCATCATTGATGTCTTTTACGTTTAAAAAAATGTTCATTGGGTCTTTTTAATAGAAGATACATATTTCAGTTTCCCTGTGTTTATTTCGTTTTTGGCTTTATATTTTAATGTTGCGCATCAAGCTTATTCGTGAATTGTGATATGCGATGTGCTTGTTTTGTTTTCCTTTTTATTGGGTTTTTACACAAAACATACAAAAATAGGACATTGTTTACATGAAATATGCCATTTTCATTAATAAATGATAAGAAAAAGGCTTTTTAAATAGTTTTTTTTTGCGAGAATCTTTACTTTTCATTATGATACACTGAGATATATATGTACTTGCAATGTTTGTATTTTCGTGATATGAAAGATGCTTCTCTTAAAAAACACATTTTTCTCTTTATTAGTTTATTCAATATTTTGGAAACTTTATTAGTTTGTGTATTTAACCACAATATTTTGGGAACTACAATATTTTGGCAGTAGAAACAGGTAGGCATGTCTAGAAATTCTTATAGCTCAGAAAAAGCGAATATTTTTGCGCGGTTTTTTGCCAACTTTTGTATTCGTCAGATAATATTTCAGAAACTAAACGAGATTTGTTCAATGTAGTTACTTGAGTGAAAAATTTAATGCCTCTTTTATAGTCAAAGCTAAATAATGAAGGTATTATACAAACAGAAAAGGGTGGGATTTTGCGATATAAAAAGAGTATATTTTGAAAAACTAAGGTTACAAAGGACTGGCACTACCTACAAAACACGGCTTCAATTTCCCCCCCTGAGTTATCATTCCAGAATATTTATAATTCAATGGTTTGCAATGACGTCACTACTACGTCACAAAATTTAACTGTCCGCCAGTATGGGGGAGTGAAAAGTGGTGCAGTAATACAATTTACTGTTTATTACATCGACTAAGTTTTTTCTCAATTTATTGCATCATTTGCATGGTTTTAAACCATTCAAACGACAGGGTATGAGCAAAAGAACCATTCTTTTTGTTAAATGCATCAAATCATAAGGAAATACGACAAAGAAACGGGGATTTTGTAATCTGAAAGTAAGTAAAGTGGCGACTTGCGAATTCGAACGATCATTGCCGAGATTTAAGCCGTAACGCACTATGCTCACGAAAACGATCGTGTTTAAAGCGAAATTTACACTCTGGAATTTGTACTTCTCTATGCCGGCAAAGAAGAGGATCGTCTATTGTAATCATTAAATACAATGGTGAAAACGATTAGCAAACTAATTGTTGTGTTGTTCAGCCATGTCAAGATAGACGAGAGATACAATGTGTATGATGAATGCAATGATTGATGAAATCTTGACGAAAATTGTTACAACCTAACGAACCTGGCTTTAATGTGCTAAGGGCAGTTTGCTTTGCGAGTGAAGTTGGACAAATGAGAAGATCTATTACACTTTTGGGTTGAGAAACTTTTGCTAAACAATATATGGCTCATGCTGACAGAAAGAAAAAGTTTAACCTGGTTCTGTTGATGTAGACAAGACAAGAAATATAGCTACAGTTAGAATGCACATTTATATAATTCTTGTGGCTTGAGACAGAAGTACATCATTCTTTAACAAGTTTTACCACCAAATTCACTTTGTCATACCTTTGGAGGACCTGTCCCTTTCATTCACAAAATGATAACTCTTGACTCATTTGACTGATGTGGCATTCAACATTGAATGAACTGTAGTTTTTATTATTGATGAAACATTGTTATGATATGAATTTCCCATTGTTGGCATGAGATTATACATGAACAGAATGGTTTCTTTGTTCTGTGTTGATGCCATGCATTCCCGTTTTATCATAGTAATAACACTTATTTAATATCCAGTAATAAACAGTTTGAAATTTTAATACTTTGGTCTTATAAAAATCCTTACTATTTTTATTAAATGGTTTTTCGCAAGGTGGATGTTTTGGTGGTCAAGGCTGAAAACGTCACAATGACCATTCGACAACAGCGTCTTGTTGTGGTTAACATTGGGTCTAAAAGCTGAGATTATTTGAACCATTGTCACTAGGATGCATTTATAGTAAAGTAATTTGAATGAGTTACCTTTGTGCACAGTCTTCTTTCTGGTATCAGTATGCACGAGTTGTTAATTTATCTGACTAGACAATTTGTGATTACCAGAATTTAATTTTTTTTTGTATTTGCAATATACAGTAGAGTTTAATCACATTAGTTTAAATATCTTTGATCATGGGAGAACATATTTATCTGCTTGCAGAAATTGACCAAGACAATATTTGATTACTTGTAACTAGTTGATTGATTTAAGTCGAGATTTACAATACAATAACGCATTTTGATGGGAATTTTGAGTATTAAAACACACAATATTATACAATTTTAAGTTTCACTTTGCACAAGAAATATTTGGTGGCTATTGTTAGCATACAAGCTTTCAGTTTCCATTGAAGAAAATACACTGATACAATGACAAAATATTGTTTTATGGAATAGACTTTCATTGACCAAGTTCATAAAAAATCGTGGTTTGTTTAGTGTCCAAGTCTCAATGCTTTAGAATTTTACTTTATTTTGAGTCCGTGATAATTTAAAGAATATTAAGTTTGCTCAAGTACGTTGTGGATGATACAAAGTCAAACGACATGGACAAAGTAAGAAATTTATGCTATAAATAAGCAAGAAAACTTATCAATATTTTTCCCACAAACATGCTAGTGCGAAATGGTCACCACAAGGAGGTTCTCAATCCCTATTACTAAAAATTCCTTAAGTAAACCAGTTAAAAATTTGTACCAAGGCAATAGTCAATGGCAATTATACAACCGCCATGTTGGTTCTTTACCCCCCATAATGGCGGAAATAGCTCAATTCCTCCATTTTTTTGACAACATCCAATATCTAAAGCTTTTGATTGACATAGCCGCTCCAAATATTATAGAACTCCATGGTTGACGTACGTTTTCCATGCTAGACCACATGACAGTTAGCGTTCCCTGTTTACGATTTACTTTGGCGGGAAATGAGACTTTCAAATATTGTAAATCCATTTGGAATACTTTAAGCGAATAAAGAATATTTTAACCATATAGCATATTTTAAATCCAATATAGAATATTTTAATCCAATATAGAATAATTTTAATTGAAAATTTAGATATCTTAAGTAATTTGAATAAAGATATGTTCTGTGCGCCATACAGCAAGCTCGAAATAGGTGTTTTTTTTTATTACTTTAATTTTCTTTATAATGACAATAGACCTTTTCAAGGTTATCGCAGCCATATTGCAAGGGGTGCAAAAACATTGGGCCGAGCGCGCGGTCACGCACGGCGCCCATATAAATTACTAATAAATGTAACTGTTTTTTTTTTGTAAAAGTTAACTGTTAGTGCAGTTTATGAACACGAAAAATTTGTATTGCAGGACTAAGTCAGCTATAATCCTGTTGTTGACTCTATCAGCAGTAATCCATGATGGGAAACACGTTGCACAGAACGATTAGGATTTTTCTATGATTTCAAACAAAGGTCATTTTTATATTAATTAAAAGTTACAGGTTTAATCTCTAATTTACACAGGAGTTGTAGCAGTAAGTAACGAGCTGTTTATTAACCCTTGCGTAGCTTTGCTTTTCTGAGAGGTGCTTGAGTTCATTGAAGATCTTTTAGAAAGCCGAAACGATATGTTATTGGTATGGATGTGGGCGTTGTTACCACGAATCTTTCCAATCAACGCGAGTAAACTCCGTCTAAAGTCTCTTAATCTCAGCGAGTACAAGATCGGATTCGCCACAAAATTTATGATTAGAACGGGATAAAATAAATACACAATTTTACCTAGCTTTGCGATAAATTTACTTTTATGCGTTTTGTTCATTCTGCTGACAAATTCAATTTGTTTTAGTAACAAAAAAGGAAAGGTAGTAATAAATAGAATTGCAGTTAGAATGACCACCGTTTTGGCGATGTTTCTGTGTTTGTTATTTTGTATGCAATCATCTTCTGTATTTCGGCGGCTGCGGATGATCTTAATGACAACTTGCATGTTTAAGGTAAGCTGAACTAGCGTGAGAAAGTGAAGAAATGCTATGCGAATCACCCAGAACTTTATGTGCTCGCTATGATCTTGATCGTGGACGGGCTGAAAGATATCTATGACATAGCAAAAACCAATTGGGATCGAGAACAACCATATCCCAACTGAAGCTGAGAAGACCTTGGAAGTGGTAAACGTAAAACGTCTTTTTAATGGGTTCATCGTAAGGAAAAAGATTTGAACTGAAAAAAACGTCAAGAATAGAAAAGAGGCGCCTGTACTGAAGGACCAGCCAAATGCGACAAATTTTATTTCGCTGTTAGATAAATAAAAGATTTTAAAAATGGGGAAACTCGTCCAATCTAGAAAGCAGAAAACACACGAAAGGAGATCGGCAATAGCCAGGTTTAATATTGTAATCCACGGTCCCTTGCGCAAGATCTTTAACGGGTCAAATATCATAGCAAGAATAACTGCTGAGTTTAGTAAAGCTCCGAGTACTGCAATCGACACAGTGATGATCAGTAGAATCGTTAATTGTCTGTGGCTGAAAAAACGGGATTCTTCTTTCTTGAAAAGAAAATACTTAATTATTGTGTTGAAAGAAATAACACTTTTTCAAAAGCCTTGCTCTATTAAAAATCAAAAATTGAAGTGACTTGTCAGTATTAGTTGCCCTTATCTTAGCAATGTTCGTAGCTATCAGTTAGCTGCCCTTATCTGAATAATTTGTATCCTTTTCTTGCGCGCACCATGTTGTGTAATTATATTTGTGTAATCTATTACAATACTATTTTCTCGATCGTACGTATAACATTCCAGTGCACGAATTAACCATACAAAAACTTGATAACATTGCCCTTAAGTACATAGAAAGTTGACTTGCGAACAGAAGGGATGCCTTCTTTGAACATTGTTCTCAGTCCAAAGGAGGCGTTTCCAGTTTAAAGATTAATTTTGGAAAATCAATTAACTAAGTATACAATCGCTCTTAGTTACATATATCTATATAATTGCGAAACCCCTTTATGATTGCTTCACCGCAAGAAAAAGAAGTATAAGGACTTTCGCAAATTTCTACTCGCATTAAGCTATGTCTGCTTTTTGAAAAGACGAAAAAATACACTAAAGTCAGTTTTCGTACATACGTTGTTGTCTATACTATTTTTCTTTATCTAATATGCTAATCATCGGCTGCACGTTAATTTCAGTGTTTTCTTTCTAAATTGTTCACGTTATTAATTCATCATTTGTTGATTCACATTATTAATTCATTAAAGTGTTGCATTTCAAATTTCGTCAAATTTTATGTGGCTATATGAGTCCTTTCGTCGTCCTAATTTTTGAGGGCTGGCGAGGTTTTTTTCATGAAATCTCACAATGAATGTCTTATTCCAAGTTTTACGTCTTTCAAGAATAATCTCAACACTATAGTTTCTAACTATACTTCTCTTTTGACTCGCAGCTTATTAATAACAACTGCCGTTATATATATAAACATCCTCGCATATATTTTTACTTCTCCATATGCTTACCTTTGATGTTGAGATGTTTGTTTCATTGATAGAAACGTTGTCATTGTTCAATATTTGAGATTCATTACGTATCGGACTTGTGGCGTTTCTTGTCGGCATGTTGGCTCCTCTGATTAAGGTAATGCCTAAGAATAACAGAATAGTGCTCAATGATTTCATGTTCATTTATCATGTACCTTTTTGTAACGCTTGCTACGATGACTTCAATGAGGTTACTTTTTTATTCGTTGCTACATCTGCGTTTTGTATGTTCTCGCACTTGAAAACACGTTTGATACGTGTGACGTATGGCCTATATGCAGCCAATGAGAAATTGCTTACTAAACTTCTTATGCTATCCGCAAACTGGAGCCGAAATTATTGAAATCGCTGTTAATTGTTTTAAAGATAGTGCGGCACACAGCATAGCGTGATTTTATATTTTGAGAAGACATTTTGACGTTGCATATCATTATTCTTTATTTGAGATCATGAAAAATATTTTGTTGTGGCTATGACGATAATTTTTTTTAAATCGCTCCCCCGTATAAGTAGAAATTGAGGGTGTAGTTTGAAGTGAAATTTAACGTTCTACAAATGAAGTCAAGTAAGTTCCACTGCGTAAGACATGAAAACCGTCTATATATTGCGTTAAGCAAACGAATGAGCGCTTAACATCAACGTTGACGATTTTTCTATAGCTCGCTTGAAAAGCTGTCATGAATAAAATAAAAACCTAAATGATTCAACAACCTGTTTGTTTACATATGTCTTCATATTAAAAAAACATGCATTTGACTGAGAAATATTGCTACTAGTCGCGATTTTTAACGGAAACCATTGTCATTGAGTGACAACGTGTGGAAGTTTGGCCATTACTTTAGAAATTTCTGTGTTCTCAAGACCGCATTTTCAGGACAGTTATTCGACAGTGAACAATCATTTGATATATCGTTTTAGATGATGGACATCATGCAGTTTTTGCAGAAATTTCATTAGTAGCTATTACATCAAGGTAAAAGTGTGCAGAAAAAATTCCGTTTGCCAACTTTGTTTTGTTTATTTTCACGATTTTATCATTAATCGATCCATACTCAAGTCATGAGTTTGCGTAGCACATTAAGGATCGTTTCAAACGTCGCATTTTAAATGAGTTGAATGCATTTAAAACAAGAGATAATGAGGATTTTTATCTCATTTTCTTTTGTCTTTAACTGTGTTCAGCGCATCAAAGTGCAACGTTTGAAAAGAGTCTAAGATCGTCGTTATGCACAAATTAATGTTCTTCGCGTTATCAAAACGATCACGATATAGAACATTGTGTGACGTTGATTCAGTCAACAGTTTTTCTTATTAATGAACACGTTATTTTTTTAAAATGATGAAATTTCTAAGGGACATTCGTAATTTGATCATATATATACATGCGTGTTAGTCATAGTGCCAGTAGAACATGATCTATAATTTTCTGATGCGCTATGAATATTCAATATATCAGATTTACAAACGGTCGCCTTTGTCATATCATTTGTATACTCACAAAATATCGATTAAAATAAATCATGTTCCAAACAATTGTATTGAATTAGTGTTTTCTATGAATTCGCATTTGCTCAAAGCTTCCGGGAACATTTTTCTATGGCTCCAGAGAATAAATCAGCAGCTTCACTAACATATTCAAGTGTTTTAAATTGTCACAACGTGGGGGGCTCATGTGATAGCCAACAGTTCGAAATTCTGGTGTGATTGCACGGTTTATACCAAATGATCGCTGCAGTTTAAGCTATTCGAACGAGAGTCTAGAGTCAGTTACAAAGATGCGAGCTTCGATATATTTTAAATGTGTGCAAAACTGTTTAAACTGCCGTGAATGTAGATCATACCAAAGTGACAGTATCCAAACAATCATTTAATACAAGTACACTTACATGATTATGTCTTTTTTGGCTGTATTTTTTCTCGTGTTTAATGTCCCTGTAGCCTCTGCGTGAGTCAGTCTGCATGCATATTTGCAAGCTTTGTCTAAAGGCAAATGCTGTAAAATGCGCTGTCTGAGTGTGTATATAGCTATAGTCTCGTTTCCTAAAAATACATAGACTACTAGACAGACTACAGTGGTACTACATCAACTACGCACTCGGAGTTCCTGTTAAATATTTATTTGCCTTTTACTTGGTGTTTATATGCAATGAATTTTTACTTTATGCGAAAATAAAATTCACAGTTATCGAATCAATCTATGCAAATTCAAGTTATTCCCATTTAGTAGAGTTTGGTTTACATTTATTGATGAGTAAGGACACGATGCGCAAACTTTTCAAATGGTCATGCCTTCGACGTCATAAGATAAAAACACGACTTGCGTCTTCTATCGATTTATATTATCTATAGAATCGCCAAATTCCCTGAGTTTTTTCTTTATTTCGTTTTTTCTGTAGCTTTTATTTCTGCAAAGATCCTTAAAATAGATATTCTTGAAATAAACTGGAACTTACTCCGTTGAGAGCAATATTTCATTGAAAACATATGTTTTGTTATCCACCGACGATCATGCCATTCTGAGTGAACCACAAGTTGGCGCTCTATAAGTCATGTGTTTTATCAACATGATTATGTCCATGACGACAAGTCTTTAGCTTAACATGGGAAGATGATCCAGATGATGCAGATGAAATTGAATGCGTATAGGCTAAAAAGATTTTTGTCAGAAAGTTGCGTCAATTAAAAAATCACAAAAGAAGTGATTAAATTGTCAAAGTTTGGATGGCCCGATCCAAGGGAATAAAGCGTGAGTTAAATAAAATGAGTGAGCCACGCGCGGATGTCAGGTAATTTGAACCGCTTTTCTTAACTTAAACAAGATTTCCAAGTTTTTGTGGATCTCGCCTCTTGAAGACCATTAAGTCATTATTTTGTAAAAAAAAATTTATTTATCTCAGACAAGTTTAAGATTTTTGCGATGGCAATTTAATTTTCGTGTTTAGATGGCCTAGCTACCTCATAAACCCATACTAATTATAGGCTAGTGTTTGAATGGCCTTATTTAAACACGGAATTAGAGCACGCATTACACATGTGTTATTTTATATTATTATTCCCTATTAAGCCTTGCTGCTTTTGATTGGTACCTACCTGCAAATAATTCTCGATATCTGTAGGTATGACGTCATCATCTGGATAAGCATTCATTATTTTATGATCAATTGCATTTCTTTATCGATGACAATTTTTTTGCCTCTTTCCTTGGGTTATAGACACATCCTGAATGTACGATGTTACATCTCGTACATTCAGGATATGTCTATAACCCAAGGAAAGAGGCAAAAAGATTCTATTATTTGTCAAAGTAAAACTTTCAGGTTTGTGAAGGTGATGCGTTACAACTGCACTCTACCATTCAGTGTCTACACTCAGAAAAGTAAAGATATTTCTAGGATATCTTGTTGCTTCCATCAACAAGAGCAATGAAAAAATAAAATGCAAGATTTTCAATATAAATTGGATTTTCCTTGCGCTCTTAAAGAAGTCGATTTAGATATAGGTGCCACCACGCTGTGGAGTGTCGTATGTTGGCACTCAAAAGACCTACATGCAGTATCGTGTTTGTAGTTGTTTGCCTTTAGTTAAAGAAAACACGAATTAAATTTATGTCATGCACAGTGGTCGACTAAAGTGTTTACGCTAACAATCAATTGGGATTTGCTGCAGAAAATTATTTTCTAAACATTGTAGAAGCTGAGAAATTACATAATTTAGGTAACACGCCGTTTGTATTCGTAGATGGCGATGCTTTTTGTCTATAAAATTTTTTTCTATATAGTTTTTGTGAATTTTCTTATTTCCTACAGTATTTACGCTCTGCTCTAACGCATCAAGCACTGTTATACGGAAAATCAACAAACAAAACACCCTATGGTGACCCCTTGAATTTCCGTTTTATATATAGTTTAAAAAAATACACAAAGTGTATATACAATGTGCCCTCCCGGCTATCACCATAATAAAATGGTGATTTCAACACTGGGACACAGGACGTACGGTTGCACATTGTATGGATTGTATTGAAAAGTCACCAGAGTGCTCAAACCTATAAAGGTGAGCTTTGCATATCGCGAACACGGTGAACGTCTCCATATTAGACTCTCTACACAATCCGACAGTGCTCAAACTACGCACGCGCAGTGAGCGTAATATACAAAGTGTGCATACAATGTGCCCTCCCGGCTATCACCATATTAAAATGGCGACTCCTGAACTATATATAGTTTAAAAAAATATATATATATAAAATTTTGCTGTCGTAAAAACTTGTGAATTTTATCCTACGCTCTACCTATGTATAAGGTATTGAATGCTGTTTGCCATGAATATTCAGTTTTTAATATATATGTTACGTACATCTCGAAAATTTAGACATATAATGGATTAACCCAAAAATTAGCCCCCAACAAAAATTAAATAGTTGCTTTAAGACATCAGTAGATTCCTTGATGGTGAATTTCGTGAACAAGATTTTTTCCATCTTGTTCTCATAATTTGAGAAAATAATTTTATCGATTTTATTGCAAATTCGTCATCATTTGACATGCATCTGTTTTCTTAAATAATAGCTCAATATTGAGTATTTTTTCCTTTTGCACTTTAAATTGTTCGCTCGTAGTGGATACTTAAATCCTTTTGAACCTTTCTCTTCATTCAATTATACTCAAAAATGTGTTTGGTTATGTTGTAAAACATCCCAAGATCCGTGTAGTCCAATTACGTGCTGCTTCTAAATTAGCGTTCTTTTATGTTGTTTGAAAATGCTGTTAAAGATAACGAGGCTCTTGTGGTTATCCAGCTGACTCAAAAGAAAGTTGTAAAAAAGAAATCGTCAATCTTTAAAAATATATAACAGCCATGCCAGGCAGAAACATATTTTGAACACCATCTGTTAAGAAATAACAGTTAAATACCATCTTTTGCGTTCTTTTTGTTGCTTTACTTGATTTTAAATTTTTCTCCGCGTTAGCGCGATCTTGGCACTTATAGCTACCAAGGAAATATTTTTTTAGAAATATAAAGTGAAAGAATTTTCTATATTGTACTTTTCTTGTCTTTCATTAATCTTTGAAAACTGCATGGTTCTAAATTTAGGAAATATTATTGGAATCAATAATGAACTCGACATTTTAGGAAAGAGATAC